AAGTTCTCCAGAGCCAGCAGCTTTGCAGGTTTGGCAGGTTTTTTTGCTCTTCAAATGTGTACTTATACACTTTCTATGAAACTCGTGACCGAATTTTGTCTTGTATAAATCTATTTCATGAATGCGTGAATTACATAAGACACAAAAATCGGACGATCTACCGGCTTCTTCGCTATCTGAATGGTTACTCCCATAGTTTATCAATTTCCTGCTGACACAACAGTTGGCTGGTTTGTAAATCAAATTTGAATATCGAAATGGAACGCTGAAGAAAAATTCGGAATAATCGAAAATGTAAGATCATAAGCAACTAGCTTATGTTAATAAGAAAATTTATGACGGTAAAACAATTAACTCCATGCGTACCCAAGAGCTCATCGACAAAGCTCTTATTTAAAACGATGTGAGAAGTTTAAAAAAAAAAAGGAGAAAAGGTAAAGCTGAGAATGAATGCACAAAAAGAGAATACTGGCTATTTTGATGATTTGACCTTTGTATCAAGCGTGGCCAACCTAAACTACGAATACTTCTTTTTAGGATTGTAGCTCCAAGCACTTCACACTCTGCCTGAAATAAAATTCCCTGGTAACAATTGCTCAAACCCGCAGTGCCGAATTACTAGACTTTAGCTAAATTCCACATGTATCGCTGCGTCAAGTGTGGTTAGCCAAAATAATTAGTTAATTGTAATTGACCAAAATCCAAAGCACTTGACCATTGTGATTTAACACAAATAAAGGAGACGGATGTGTCAAAACTTTCCTCGTGGTGAGTTTTTACTATTTCTGAAAATATAAGCACTTCTTTCCAATGCGATCGAAAAGTTGACACGGCTGGCTAGGAAAATTATAGAAATATAACCGAAAGGAAAAGGTATAAGTATTTGTATGCTATTTAGTGGGTTTTACTGTACAGTAAAGCCAATACGTTGGGCGCCAAATTATTCAGATATTACTTATTATTATTCCTGTAACGAACAACGTTGAGCTGATGGTATTGCAAACTGTTAGCCCTGCACTCGTTTAAATCCGGCTCTAACTCGTCAGCGAATGTCGTGGTGTTCTTAAGAGGCTGCAGCTTACGGGTGCTCTTGAATATCTTTAACAATTAAAATGTATCGCGTGCAAACAGGCAACGAGCCAATATCGGCCGGAAAAGAGATAGCATAACAAACAGACAGACAGATAGAAATAGCACTTCTCACATTACACGCCCCAGATGTAAATGGGGTGTTATCAGCCCACCCTACCTTGGCCAATGCTCTTCCAATAAAATACTGCATCAGGCCCCTTTAAATAATTGATTCTACGACGGCTCTTGGGTCAGCATGGAGTTAAAAATATGATTGTTTACTCAGACTTTAAAATCGTTGTTTATTTACTAAATATAAAAGGGAAAGATATGAACTTCATTTAAAATAAGATATTTTTGTACACAGGTATTGTTTAAAACTAGCATGCATAATCCTTAATAAAACTTTAAATTTTCATAACATTATATATCGTGCGATCTCAATTACAGTAACTTAAGAATAATAAATATATTTAAATTCAATATTACAATAGTTTGCATTCAGACATTTTATATAGTATTTATTTACTTTACATTTTATTTAGTATTACTTTACACTCGATCACTTAATTGCGGAATAAAATTTCGTATAACTCTCAAGACCATTAAATTTGCCGCAGGGTATAAAATTGTCAATCTTGGCTCACCTGAGATATCCCACTGATGGAAGCGCTTCCATATGTTGGTGGTTTTGCTGAAAATTGTAAACAAATGCAAGTCAAAGAAGTTCGGTAATTATAACCTTATCGGCTGCATATATTTAACGTGACCGAAATTTGCTTACACATCTCTTGAATTTTACATGTTCCTACTCTTTGCCTATATTCGCATCTTTTTACTCTATTTATAACTAACGATAAAAAAAACTTTCGAACTTCTTGTTCTCTCCTTATGTTCAACTAAATCTCATTTTTATATTAACATTTCGTTTAACATTTTAACTTATTCATATTTTTATTGATTTTACTTAATAGAACTTAGCCTTATCTTATACGATTTCTATGTCTTCATTGGGTTTTATGTATTTACTTGGCGATTTCAAATTTAGTACATTTTATTTGCGTAAACAACTGGGATTGCTTTTACTTTTGTGTTTACATTTAGGTTTGCGTTTACTTTTACATGCATTCAGCATTGCGCTCACTTTTACCCGTGTATATTTTGTTTACTTTTATATGTGCATATAGCTGCGTTTACTTTTATATATGCATTTTGCTTTGCGTTTACTTCACTACTACTTTTGGGCACTATTCTGACCTAGTTAAGACACTTCACTATGGGAATTACTGTGATTTATCTACATTAGGTCATAGCTGTTGATTAGCAGAGCACAGACGAATTTTTAAACACTTTCGACAGACGCATGATACCAAAAAAAAAATGCACTGTACACTATTGCGGCATGCTGCTGGCGCTGGTTATGTTTAGCTCCTGATGAAGCTGCATCAAAGGCAGAACCCGGATATCCCAACGGCAGACTGAAAGGTCCTGCACATTGCGTGCCCACGACCCAACGAGGATGGTCCGAGTGCAGTCCGCCAAATAAGCAAGGAGGCAGAGAATGGATAGTGTCTACGTGCGTAACACCACGGCAGACGAGGAGAAGAAGGTCCAGGGTCTTGATAGTGTGATGGAGGCCACCCAAGACCTGAAGCTGGAAGAGTCGGATGAGAAGGAGGACGGGGACGTGACAGAGATGGTCAACTCTCATGGTACCCATGACACTAAAGGTCCTGCAGCTCAACCTCCATAAGAGCTTTGTTCCAGGAGCCATGGATCGACCTAGGCAGTTTCGTGGCCTGACTAAAGTCCTCAAATTACAACCTATTCTACTCAACACTGGTAAGCAGGAACAGGACCGCCAGTCTAGTGCGGAAGGGTATCTACGCTAAGCGTACAGCTCCGATTTCTTAACTGTCGTGAAGTACGAGGGCACAAAGGAACTCGTGGAGAAACGTCTGCTCCAGTATCGAGAAAAGACCAGAAAAATCTAGACTCCGGAAGCTGCTATTGAAGCAACCTACCGTACAGGTTCAGCTCAAACGTTACGACGGATTGTGAACTTAGGGTAATATAGAAGTCCTTGCAGCACTAATACAAGCTCACTTCCGGGGATGCTCAGAAGTTCCGGATGCTAACGTATATCAAGACCTGAAAGCCTGCGAAATAAGCCCCCCAGCTGGTATAGTATCCCCTAGAGGAATCAAATGAGCTATAGACTCCTTCGTGGAGTTTAAAGCACCTGGACTATATGAAATATTTTCAGCCATGCTACAGATGACCAAGGAAGAGATCACCCCATTTCTTTACAATCTACTCAGCGTGCGTGTGCACTTTCCTTCCGAAAGCAGCAAGGAGCAGCCTCACATTGCTTATACTAAAAACACTAGAACTGTTTGACTTACACATCAGAAACGATGTGGGGAGACTAATGTCAACCAACCAGCATGCATTTACCAAAAGGAAATCGGTGGAGACGGCACTACACTCGCTAGTAGCTACCATCGAGAAGGCACTCTATAACAAGGAATATGGCTTAGGAGTGTTTGTGGACAGGGCATTCAACAACGTAAGCATCTTGTGCTCTTAATTAAAAAAATCGTATTTACTTTACTAAAGGAAAAATCGTCGCCAAACTGTTGTGTCATCAAATTTTAATTATTTTAAGTTCACTTATCTTAGGAGTATGCCTGGCTGCATCTGTACAAAGTTCCTTGATTCTTTCTTTTTCTTTTCTTTTGGTCTAATATTGTTAGTGCTGAATTCAGAACTTTCCTCGCTTCCTCGACATCGATTAAAATCTTCTTGCCATTGTACAAACAAAACAGTTCCCTGACTAATATATAGTCGTTACTCAGCTAACAAATATTAAGCAAAATATTCCAAGTCAGTAAAAGCCAGGCTAAACTGCCAACGCTTCTTGATTTAAGCAAAGCGTTCGATACAGTTGACCACGCAATTCTCTGCAGTAAATTGAAAAACTTATTAAATATTTCCGACACACCTATTAAATTAGTTTGGGTAGAAACGGCAAGGCGGCTAGATAAACTCTCCTAATGATGCTGATCAAGAAAATATATACTTATCTCCTTAACTGCGTTTGAATCTTAAAATTTGCCGCCGAAATTAGATTTCCCCGCCAATAAAATGAATAGTAATGCATCTCATTCTCTCGAACCTCCGCCTGAGGCTCGAATTTAAATTTGACTTCTACCCCAATTCTCAGTTTTTGGTTCAAACTTGTAATTCTGTCCCATTATGAATTGCATGCTGCACTGCTCGCTCTCAGTATTAGGAGCGGGTGGAAGACAGAGAACTAGGGTGGGAAATCAAGTTGAACTTAGAACATGGCTCTTAGCCAGAGAATGGGCAGAGGTTTCTGCAGAGCAAATGGTGTCTGTATGTTTCTTAGGGTTGGTACTCAGACTACCAAAACTACCCCCAAAACAAAAAACTTCATATAAAAAACGGCACAAAATATTTTATTGGCAAATTTTTGTTTTGGTCTTTGGAGAGCGGTACTCAGCGATAAGCTAAGATCAAGAGTGAGAACTGCGTGAGTTACCACACCGGTACCATCGACTACGCCACCGCCTAAACTCCCTTGCTACCCTCTTCCAATTGGACAGCGACCGGCAGCTAGCCGTTTGTTGTCCCACATAGGATTGACATGAGAAATGCAACATCAGCACATAGCAGGTTGTTGCTAAACGACACCCACTCAGCAGAGCTCTAGAAAATACTTTGTTAGTATTTATACACCCACACATACATAATTGTAAACACATAAAATTCTTTGGCGAAGGTTCGGCTTGAATCTCAAGCCACAATAAAGATTATTCCGTTTTGAACAACCTAACCGAACACATCAACTGTTTATTAAAATCCTCTCTGAATAATAATAACTACAACTTACTATACTGGCGCAGACGGACCTATCAGCCGGAAGGAGGAAAAAGGACATACCATACCCGGAGAACTGAGAAGGACCGAAGTGATGAGAACGATTATGCAACAGTAAGTTAAAATAGTGATGTGATGGAAGTGAGGTGTGTGATGTAAATACTAAAAAGAAAGGTTGCACATATATATTAACGATCAAATTGATAAAGGCATGAAATGAGTAAAAAAGGAAAAAGGAAAAAAACAAAGAACATTGGCAAAGAAAAAATTAATTGTTGACTGTGAATATCGTTGCAATGCAACCTGGCGACCCGCAACGTCATCGAACCATATAGTTCGACGGAGTGAGTTGCGAGTATGACGTTCGAGGTTCGATGTTGGACGCGAACGTCAATCATGCAGCTTGGGGAAAGAAACCCAGGTCGCTGGTTGGATACTCTGCCTGCCAATAAATGAAAAAAATAATAATATTAAAAAGAAAATATCTATTGCAAGTGACTGTCCGCTCGTGGCTGGAATAAATGCATCGCGCAGGAATTCCAGTTAGCTTCAGCACGGTGCAAAAAAAAAGAAAGTGTAGAAACAAAAAAAATAAAATTTATTAGTTGCTGCCATTAGTACCATTGCATCGCGCAAGGGTAACTGATGGAGAACATCACAGAAAAAAATAAACAGACAAGGAAATCCCAAAGACCACTGCATCGCGCAAGGGTATTTGGTGAATCTTAAAGTTAAATAAAAGAAGGAATAAATCATAACGCATACAAGAAGAAACCACCATCGGAAACCACTGCATCGCGCAAGGGTGATGGTTAAACAATAATAATAGAAAAAAAAGAAAGAAAAATATAAAAATAATATTTATGTAGGTTACAAAAGAAAAAAATATATGGGAACCCGATACCACTGCATTGCGCAAGGGTATAGAAGGGTATGTAAAGAAAGGTAACAAAAAACATATAAACAACACTTCCAACACAATACATTCTTAGAAAATAATACAACAAATTGAACAAATGAAAATAACAAAATTTTACAGATAAAAGACAAGCATAAAAGATAAGCATAAGCAAAAATAATAATTTAAGGAGCAACCAAAGAAAATTGTAAATGTCAAAAATTTGCAAAGTCAAAGAGTCACTTAGGCCTCTGACTAGAAGTAAAGTTTTCAAAAAGGCTACCAGTTTGCCAACGATAGTGGAAAAATTAAATTTTGAGCCCTCAACTTCTAGAGCAATACAGAATAGGGAAGCTAATACAATGACGCATCAGGAACATTTAGGAATGCAACAGGTAACGTTTGAGATGTTAGGCACGGTAAAAATTTCCGATGTGATCCGGTCGATGCACGTTTAAATGGGGGAAAAAGAAAGTTTAAACGAGTTTATTTTAAACGCAGAAGCGATCCTTTTAATGATTAGGGGAATGGACCAAACACCATGGGACTGATGGTCCTTAGGCAAATACGGAATAAAATCCAAGGAAAAGCAGATGACATTTTTGTAAAATCAAATTGTGGATTAAATTGGGATGAAATTAAAAGAATTTTGATAGCCCATTTCATAGTCAGAATCCGATTTACTGAGGGAATTAAATCAGTTGGAAAATAAAAGACTAACAGTAGAATTATTTTACTCGGAGGTATCTGATGTGCATTGTGTAATGTTATAGACAGGACAGATACAAACCCCATCGCAATTCAGGCAAAGAAGAAATTATATGAGGAAATGTGTCTGGAGGCGTTTGTAAAAGGTCTAAAAGGCTATTATGGTAGTGCTGTCAGGGGAAGAGTTCCAAAGACGCTCTTGGAAGCATACGAGATAGCGATTAAAGAAAGAGAGAGAGACATTTATTACCGATCTAAGGAGGTTCCCAGCAACAATAGTTTCAATACTGCAGGGGATTTAAGAGGCAGAACTTTGGTTATAATAGAAACAGAAACATAATGGAGGATATAGGTAACAAGGAGGAAATAATAGGAACCTCAGGTGGAATAGGGAAGAAAACAGGAATAGAGGATATGATGATCCGTCGACCTCTAATTCTTCAGGTTATAATAGAAAGGCAATTATGCCAAAACAGGAGGTTGCAGAATATTCATCAACTGGGCCTAGAAGTGCCAAGCGATGGCAGTCAGGACAATTTAATACATTAGAAAAAGAAGAGAGGTAATCGTTTGATTTCCTTCTATTTAATTTCCATTCCTGGTTTGATGGATTATTGGGAATGAACATATTAATTAAGTTAGGTGCAAGTTTAGATTTAGAAAATCTCGTATTAAGAACTAAGACAGGTACAGTTAAGGTCCATTTAAAGCCCAATAGGGTCACTGACATACATTTCCTGGAGGAAGCGACTAGAACAATTGTTACCTTACCAGTTTCAATAAACAATGGTTCATTTTTGATACAAACAACACTATAGAAGAAGGGTTAAAAAGTAGGAAGTTGTTAATTTCACAGGAAAAGAGAAGAAATTATACTTTGAAAAACCCTTTTAGACTTGGCTAGCGGACACCAACAGATTGAGATGGAAAAACAAGACATTCTAAAAACAGCATTTACAGCAGATAACGGACACTTTGAATATGTAAGGATGCCATTTGGCTTGACAAATGCTCCAGCGACGTTTCAAAAAGTGATGAATAACCTGATGGGAGAGTTGGTAGGCAAGATTTGTCTGGTCTACATGGATGATATAATTGTGTATTCCCCGTCTTTGCAAAGTAACATGCAAGACTTGAGCACAGTTTTTAAAAGGATAAGTGGAGCAAATTTTAAACTTCAAACAGATAAATCAGAACTTTTAAAGAAAGAAATAGAGTATTTAGGACATGTAGTGACACAAGAAGGAGTCAGACCAAACCCAAATACGATTGAGGCCATAAACCTTTTTCCTTTTCCCAAGACACTTAAGGAAATAAAGTCGTTTCTTGGACAAATTGTGTATTACATGAAATTCATAAAGGATTTTGCAAAAATAACCAAACCATTAACTAAGAGACTAAAAGGGAAACACCAAATAATCATAGATCTTCATATACAAAAACTTTTGAATATTGCAAGACCTTGTTGTGCAATGATCTATTGTTGAGATATCCAGATTTTACAAAGCCCTTTATTTTAACCACAGATGCTAGCAATTTTGCTATTGGTGCGGTGTTATCACAAGGAACGATGGGAAGTGGTCGCCTAATCGCATTTGCGAGTAGAACGTTAAATGAGATTGATGTCAATTATTCCACAGTAGAGAAGGAAATGCTTGCCATAGTTTGGGGTATAAAACACTTCAGACCATACTTGTTCGGTCATAAATTCACAATAGTCACAGATCACCGCCCACTAACTTGGCTCATGAGATTTAAAGAACCCAAGTTGGTGAGGTGGAAGCTGCAACTATTGGACTATAGGTGACTCCGTTCAAGCCACTTGACATCGTTCGTACGGATTTATACACAATCAACAAAAACCACGTTATAATAATAATAGACAAGTTTTCCAGGTTTACTATGGGGTACACCATACCATCAAGTGATAGTTAAAATATTGTTAAATCAATAAAGAATTCAGTACGGTGTCCCCAAAAAATATCGTATGTGACCAAAGTATATCTCGGTATTATTCAGGGATTTCTGTAGGCCACACGGAATTAACTTGCATGTGACGTCGTTTCAACAATCGTCCAGCAACTCACCGGTTGAAAGGCTTCATTTAACGCTGACAGAAATTTATTGAATAATTATGAAAACAAGGAAGGACTTAAAAAATGAGCATGAGGAAGATTTCCTAACATATAATAACTATATACACTTCAGTACAAAATTGAAGCCATTCGAATTGTTCTCGGGGAGAACACACGTTTTTGAGAACTTAAGGAAGTTAAATGCTTATCAGGAGGAAGTGTATAAGGAAGTTAAGGACAGGTTAGAAAGACAAAAACAAGAAAGGACGCGAAAACTAAACGAGGGAAGAGAAGAACCCATGGAGTTGGAAAAAGGAGATGTAGTTCATAGGAAGGAGAATAGAAGAAATAAACTAACACCTAGGTTAGCACACAGTAGATGAGGATAATGGGGTTACATTCGTTACAAAAAGGAAACAAATAATACATAAATCCAAAATTAAAAAAGAATTAAACAAAATTAAAACTAATCAAACACGGTTACAGGTGCATATTAGTCCATGGACAGGCAATGGACGTGCAAACACTAAAACGAGAAGAAGCGATCGTAAAAATGGAACTGGGAAAGGCAAGAGTAATGGTCGGAGCGAAAACGTTTGACCATATAATAAACTTTAAGGACAACGAAGGTAATATTGTACAGATCGAAAATGCGTTGTTAGACATAGCGAATGTTAGGTTCTCAGGTAAGGCCGTCTAGGTGGTTAAGGAAAAATTTTACCAGGTGAAGGAAAGGTTAGAAACACTTAGATCAAAAGGGGAATTTTAATGGATAAGGAAGCATGATAAAAATAGTTTCGGGAAATATGGACGCGTATGATGAGGAGAAAATAGGAAATAGAATAAAAGAAATAAGAAACGAAACAAGGTTTCTTACAGGAGGAGCGAACAAGCAAAGAACCTTTTATCAGGAAACCTTGAATAGGTTTACGAAAATTACTAAGCATATAAGCAAGGAGCAGGAAGATATAAATTTGTTTATAAAAAATTATAAAAATAACGTATTTAAGGAATTAACACAAGAGCACAACGAAATACATATGCTCCAGCATTTGAATACGATTAGTTACAGTGTTGATTGGTTAGCAGTGCACTTGAACAATATTGCGGAGAGCGAAACTTCGGATTGTGCCTAAATTCATTTTAGCAGAGACTGAATTAGATAGAATTATACAGTTTGTCGAGAGTCAAGGGCTCAAAATTGTTTCAAATGAACAAGTATATGAATTAATAAATATACAGGCACAAATAAATGAAACAGACATAATATTTAGGGTAAGAGATCCAATTTTTGAGCCAACTGTCTATCAATTCATGTTATACCAATTGCAATTAATGGGACACATTTATTAGTAATTCCAAATTATGTAGCAATTAATATGTATAAAATAAGCTTCTTTAACAAACAATGTTGAAAAGTTCATGAAACTTTTATTTACGAGAGCAAAGAGTTGGTTGTTGAGATAAAAGGAAAGGAGTGTTTGAGGAAGATTTTAACGAACAAACCACCAATATACGATTCAGTAAATCTAAAGGGGAGAGAAATGGTTTTGGCACCTGAGGATGGACACATATTCATTTTAAATGCCTTGGACTTACCTGTAAACAACACGTGTGGAGAAGATATGACAGTATCGGGGGCGCTAGCAATCAAATATGCAACTGTTCGATCAAAATAAGTGGCATAAATTAAAATGCCCAAGTTATGGAACATAAAGAGGACCATATAGTACTTACCACTACAAAAGGTAAGCAGATACTTATAAATAACACCAAACAGAATTTAAACCTAGAAGTTTTACATCTCGAAGATATGAGAAACCTCAAAAAGTAGTGTCCATAGGAACAGTACAGGAGAAATATTTTTCCGTAATATACGTTGATGCTTCTAACGATAACGGTACTGGCAATATGGAGAATTAGAAAAACAAAAACAATCTTCACCCCCACCCCCTTTCCTGCACAATGTCGCTCTGGATATACCACAGATGTGGCCATCGCTCCAATCGGGGGGGAGGAGTTACCATACCGGAACCATCGACTACGACACCGCCTAAACCCCCTTGCTACCCTCTTCCAATTGGACAGCGACCGGCAGCTAGCCGTTCGTTATCCCACACAGGATTGACATGAGAAATGCAACATCAGCACAAGGCAGGTTGTTGCTAAACGACACCCACTCAGCAGAGCTCTAGAAAATACTTTGTTAGTATTTATACACCCACACATACATAATTGTAAACACATAAAATTCTTTGGCGAAGGTTCGGCTTGAATCTCAAGCCACAATAAAGATTATTCCGTTTGGAACAACCTAACCGAACACATCAACTGTTTATTAAAATCCTTTCTGAATATTGGATGAGTATCAGGAGCACTAACTACAACTTACTATAACTCGTGCTCTGTTTTTTTCAACAGCCAAGTCATACAAGGATAACTCATGATTGTGTTATTCAGGTACTCTTTTATTGTAACTAGGGTTTGGAGCTTTGCAGTATTAAGTGTCTGTTCATCCTAGTCTGGGAACGGTGACGCATCCTTAAGCCCTGCTATACCGCCGAGCCAAAGGCAGCAGAAAGCATCACAAGCATAGCAGGCGACGGATCACTCCGCAGCAGTCATAATCAGCGAGTCGTTCAATGTGGGAAGGAACCGACGGCGGAGCATATTTCTACACTGTCAATACAAAACCTAGGCCGAGAGTCAAGTCGGTGAATAAAAATCCTTGTATACTCCTAATCTCTCTGTGCGTTTTCACTGATCAATAGGGTGGTCACGTTCATATAAATTTGGTGGGACGAACACATACACTTGTACATCTTCTGAGCTAGCCGCACGATATTCTTAGCGAGCAGATAATCAAGAAAATCAGTTCGTTACAATATATTGGGTGGAGAGCCATTACATACATCTACCCCTATCGCTTAGCGATGTTGTTGGTGTTCCGCTCACTTCCTCATGGTTGCCAACGATTGTATAATTTTACTTTATTACGGACGCTTGCTTTCTCCACATGTTTCTCCTCTATTGCCTCTCTTTGATGATGAGCTTTCTGCATCGCGCTCCCAAGGGCACTCGCCGACTCTGGAAGTATCTGCAAGTAGGTCTTCTACAATTGTGCGAATGGATTGCAACTATAACTTTGTAATGATAATCCCCCCTACCAATACGTATCCGGACTAAAGTATTGCGTACGGCTCTGAATGTCATTTTTGGTCTTGCGACTGTGGATTTTACTATACCACTTCATGACGACCGTCATGAAGCTATGGCAACGGTTTCAGAGAATTCATCAGACAAAAGAATAGGAAGTTATTGTCTTAAAATTTTTTTTTAAAACATATCTGGAATGAGAACCAAAACTCAGTTCGTCTTCATGAGCACATCCAACAGCGGTTATGACATAATAACATTGGTTGAAACCTGGCTCAAACCTAACTTCAACTCCAATGAGCTTTTTAAAACAAACTTATTCCATGTCTATCGCAAGGATAGAGACTTCAGCAGAATGCAGTGCGAGAGAGGTGAAGGTGTCATCGTGGCTTTCCGCCATACCTTCTGCTGCTGCATGGCTGTACTTTTAAACGAGGACTTTCTTCTAGACCAGTTGGCTGTCGAGGTATCTGAATTGTCCGGGAAGACTGTAATAGTTGCTTCTTATATTCCCCCTGGAAGTGACTTTACGCTTTATCACTCTGTTGGTCTCGTTGAGACGGGAGATTTGGGATTTGTTGTATGGTCCTGTTATCCGCAATCCCATGCTATGGTGCCTGGCAATGTACACCAGCCACATGAATTTATTGTCATTGATGATTGTTATAGTATGGGCCTCACCCAAAAAAATTATATTTATAATGATTTGCATAGGCTTCTAGATTTAATATTATTATTTCTATTTGTGAAGTTCATTATTAACCCTTCTCCTTTAGTATTGAATTTAACAATTTTTACCAGTCATGCCAGCTTGGTTGTCGTAATAGATTGCCTCACGTCTATGGATTGGGTTTCCTTGCTATCAAATGCTAGCATTGAAACCAACTACAAAAACTTTCTTGTCGCTTTAAAAAATACGGGGTTCCTTTAGGCTTCCTTGGTATACTAAAGGCCTTCAGAAATATTAAAATTTAAGAAACACGTTCTACAAAAGCTTCAATAGATGGGGTAATCCAGTCGATGGTGATAGATATAGACAACATAAGCGGGAATTTGAGTTTCTAAAATAAATTGTATATAACCAATTCCAACTCTGGGACGAATATTCCAACCTTATTTGCTTTCTTTTTCTCGGCTTATTTTGAGCCTGCTTGTGACTGGAATGACCACCAAATTGTAAATAATTTTCCTGAAAATTGTAATATTGGTAAGGGAACCAAGGGAAAAAACTGATGAAGACATTTATGAAGCTATATCTCATTGTGACGACTTCACAAAGCCGGACATTGATGGAATTTCTTAATTTTTTTTTTTGCTAAATGCTATCTTCTTCAACCCCTATAAGATGATCTTCTCTTCCTCGCTATCTCAGGGTAAATTGATAACTAGATGTAAAATTGCCAAAATTCTACCGGTTCATAAAGGCGGAAGCAAGTCTGAGGTTTCTAATTACAGGCCTATTGCTAAAATAAGCAATATTACAAAGCTATTCGAGAGAATTGTAGTTAAAAAATTATCCTTCCTGTTCTTATATTGACCCTAATCAGCACGGGTTTTAGATATTTTCGCGAAACATTGCATTCAAGCTGGAATCAGCGGGTTTGTTTCTAACTCCTATGAAGCAACCTCTGGTCTTCCTCAGAATAGTTCTCTTGGTCCTTTGCTTTAATTATTATATCATTATTTTCATTAATGATATTTGTTTCTGCATTCAATCTGCCAAGTATCTTCTTTATGCGGAAGACCTTAAAATGTGCAAGCCAGTGAATTCCATAAATGACAGTTATTTGCCACAATCTGAACAAAATCAGTTTATGGTGTATTCAGAACAATTTGCCTCTCAACCTAAATAAATGTTTTGTTGTTCGCTATAGTAAATTTATCTTAAATATTCTTTCAAATATGTTATTAATAACCACTTACTCTTTGCACTTATCGAGATTTGTTTATTAATCATATTGACCATATTCTGCCGAAGGCATATGCAATGTTCGGATTTGTCAAAAGCAACACTGTACTGAGCCAATTTTAAGAGCTTTAAGACTGTTTAACTCCTTACGAGCGAGTATTCGATTGGGTTAGGGATCCAAGAAAGATGTGCTTAGGCAATTGCTTAGGGAATAATTTTAAATTTATAATTAGTTTTAGCTTGTAAGCCAGATAAGGATTAATCTATTGACGAATAAATAAATAAAGAAATAAATAAACATCCGGTGTAGCTAAGAGTTCTATAGGTCTCGAGAAGTGATTACCTTGTTGGCTCGGTAGTGCCTCATAAACCACCTCTTGAATAGCTCCGATTGTGAGGCTAAAACCAAATTGTCTTGAAGATAGTTCTCCCGCTCTTTTGACTGCCATTGCTAGTCGCGGCTTGATCATCTTCTCCAGAAACTTTCCTGACGTATTTTACATACGCAAAGGTCGATATACTGATGGGGCTGAGGGATCTCCTTTGCCCTTGCTTATCAGAACCAAATGTTTTTGTTTCCACTGCAACATATCTAGCAAAGCAAGGGTGGGCGTTTTGTGATTGGTATGTTATCAGGCCTCAGGGTTCTCCTCCTTTTTAACCCTTTTGTGGCCCTGTCAATATTTTACTATTTTAGCCACTTGTTATTCTTGACCTAAGTTTCTTCGTTACAATTTTATATCCCAGTCCCCACGGATCAGAATCGTCGCTGCAGAGGGAATTCCACTTACTAATTTTAAACTTCCTGATAGCAACATTCATTTCCTTCATAGCTCTTTTGTACTCTTGCTCCTGGTTGGAAAAGATTCCTCTACGTTTGTTTTGAGGCATTTCTCTCTTAAAGTTTTTATTTCGTTTGTCCACCAGTATACGTCTTGCGTGGGTTTTCATTGATTAGGGCAGTTTTATTTAACCGCGTTTCCTATTCACCTTAATGTAGCGATTGAGCCTGTGTTTGCAACTACCATCCCCAGTCTCGCCGCCATGTCTAGAACTCTTTTTCCTTGGAGCGCCTTCAATATCGTCAAACTTGCTTTGGAAGGTCTGTATGTCATCAAAGGGTGACAAGTAAGTACTTATTACGGTTTAGTCCGCAACTAGCGCTGATAACTAACGCCTTCTATTGACGTTTTTTCCATTGTGAAGTGGTAAGTTAGTAGTTAAGTTAGGTGTTCTCATCTTTATTTAATGTACAGTCGTCCAGTATGTCCCCATGGGTCCAGATGCAAGCAGTAAGGTCCATGCGAGGGTTGACAGAAGGTCTCATGGGCTGTTGTGTTCAGAGCCAGGATGGGCGTTAAGCAGGAATCATTTTAAGTCGAAAAGCATTGGCAAGAAACTAATAGGGGTCATAAAGTAATAAAGAACATAACATAAGTTAACTTAAAAAAGCTTATGCGCTAAATCTCTTTAATCATTCCAGGGAATCTGACAATACTGACTCTGATCTTCAAAATGATCTTGATAATGACGTGGACGAATGTAACATCCACAACAGCTCAACAAATAAGTATTACACCTATCACTTCAAATAACAGCTATTTACTTCTGAACACAGGGATTGTAAAAATACCTTTATATTACGAACATCATATGATACAGATTAATCAAACAAAAATATTAGAAACATACCAGGACTTTATGAAATACGAAAACAAGTTTAATTACGTACCAGATATTGCTTAGCACTAAAACAACTAAAACATGAAATCAAGGGAATTATTTCTACACAAAGACAAAAACGAGGATTAATTATTATTGTAGGAACTGCTTATAAATACTTATTTGGAACATTAACAGAAGGCGATAAAAAAGAGCTAAAAGATAAATTATAAAATTTACAAGATCAAGTAATTGAAAATAAAGATTTCAATGAAATAGTTACAGTAATAAATAAACAATCCGAAGACATAAAAAGACTTGTGAAAGATGAAGAAGAAATAGATGCATTACACATTTTTAGATATTCATTATACATTTTCCTTGAGTATATTGAAGATTTACAAATGGGATTACAATTAACAAGAATAGGAATATTCAATCCTAAAATATTGAAACATGAAGAGTTGGATGACATAGACGAAGAAAAACTCTTATCAATCAAAACTTCAGCTTGGATAAGTAGTCAGACACCAACTTTAGTTAAAGAAACCCAAAAGTATAGAATTATAAAATTCACAGATATTAACATAA